CTGTCACACGCCTCTGAAAAACAAAAGACATTTTCCATATGTACCAAGCTAAAATACAGCGAGAATCAAGATTCCCATTCGTAACTAAAGACTAAGAACAAAACGCAGGGTTACTTTATCGATACATTGTAGTCATTTTTAGTGCAATTGTTTTCTTGTGATACTAATTTTAATTTTTTTCTCTAGGTCTTTCTTTTTTTGGCGGGGGGAGGGGGGGCTCGGTCCGCCTTTGCGATTACATCAGTAATATATCGAACAGCTTGACACATTGAATTTGTTTTGATAAAGAAATTTACGTAATTTTTCTTTTGTTTTAGAACATTTTAAAAATATTTCAAGGGTATTTTATTGGTCATTTTTGGCGATCTTTTAGGTCATCAAAATCCACCCCCTAGTTATTATATTTCCCCGTATACTATATAAATGCCCGACTGAGTCGAATGTGATCAGTAAATTAAGATAGTTTTTAATTTAAAATATTTTGATCGAAGGTGTCATTTAACAGATTATATAGAATGACGCATGCTAAACTCAGTTCATGCTGCGCTACGATTTTATTCGTTTTAATGATTACACAGTTACAAAAAAAAGTTGTATGACCCAAGACTTGATGAATGTTTCTCTATGTATTTCAACGCACTGAAACCTAATCTGGAGCCAGAATTGCGCCATCATCCAGTTTCTTTTAAATCCCTCCAAAAAACACAGAGGTTTTTCGAAAACAACAACAAACTGGGAAATAATGACATAATTCTGACTTCAGATTCGGATTTAGCATGTAGACATACATAGAGAAACATATTTCAAGTCTTTGGGCCTGACAACAACCTCCGAATAAAAATAAATACAATTTCATGGTGGTTTTTCGCGATTAAAAACAGGAAGTGTTGGCGTAATTATGGCTTCAGATTCGGATTCCACGTGTGGAAATACATAGAAACATAAGTGTCACGTCTGTGGGTCTGACAATAATCCCCGAGAATAAAAAAAATCAATGAAGTCGTAGGTTTCCGCGGACAGAGTCGATGTGCGTGATCTTGGGTGTCCGGGTGACGCCGCATCGAAGGCTGTGTTGCCGTTTCGACCATCTTGTCCTGGACTTCCTCCGCTCGCATACCAGCCCTGAGGAAGACCACGACAAAATTATCGAAACGTCGGCAAGACAGCTTTCGACGCGGCGTCACCCGGACAATCAAGATCACGCACAGAAAAATACAATGTCACGATAATTTTTTAGATTAAAAAAATGGAGGGTGGTGACGCAATTCCGGCTTGAAATTCGGATTCAGCGCTTTGATAACAACATGTGTCAAGTCTTTCGGTTTGTCAGCTCTTTTATTGTTATTATTTTTTTTGGTACCTGTGCAGTTACCGAAAAATTAGGGGGAGGGGGAATTTCCCTCTCCCCCCCCCCCGTGGATCCGCGCCTGTAAAAGTGATTTTATTTGTCTCTTAGGATTGCGCCACACGGCCAAGTGAGTTCGTGTCGCAACCTTTCCTACTCGTAAAATAAAATATCACTTTACACTTGCATCATAAATAACTATTAACTATGTACATTTCATAAAAAACGTTTAATAAAAAATCTCACCTTTTACAACAGGCATGCCGGTTCTAAACCTTGTGTACTTTCAACAACACACAAATTCATAAAGTTGCAGCTCGTGTCAGTCGAGGACAGAAAATGGAATTCCCTTGATACGCCGCAGCACTCGGCGGACCAACCCCCCCCACCTCCACCACTCATTGGTTGCAGCACCGGATGCCCAAAGAAAATGAAGCCTGTGTTGAAGCGCAGGGCAACGAGTAATGAGGAAACGTAGTGGGCAAGAACCAGAAGCGTGGTGCAATACTGTGAGAGCATCAGTCGAACGCTCTTTTGTTTCAAATTGATTTCACACATCGATGTTCGCTGCCAATATCTTGAATATTGAACGTCTTTAAAACCCAGAATGTGTATTCCAACATATTATAAATATTTTTCGATTATTTAGGGGTTGTGCAACACAAGCACGAGCCCCTTAGTATTAAAAATAATAATAATAATAATAATAATAATAATAATAATAGTAGTAGTAGTAGTAACTGCTTCCACGTATGTAATATTACCTTTATTTTCAGGACTCCACAAGTTTTTTTGCTTCAGTATAGCTGAGTCTTTTGCTGCTTTAACTTGTTGAATTGCTGTCCTGCTTATATATAGGGCAGTCTTCTTGACCTCGATGAATGTTGTCCACTGCAATTAAGCGACTGCAAGTTCGCGTTGGCAGTCTATCTCAGAAAGCCACGTACTAGAGAACGGTGTACCGCAAGGTTCTCCATTGTGAGTGGCACGCTCTTTATCATAGCGATAACGGGATGTTTGACGGCATAGAAGCGTCAATAGGAAAATGCATGTATGTAGATGACATTGCTATATTTTACTCAGCCAAATCACGGGAATGGTCAAATTCAAAATGCAAAATGCCATCAATAAATTATACAGACGCAAAAAACATTGGTTTCTCATTTACAGCAGCCAAAACGAATTGCGTCCACTTCAGTCGGAAAGGAAAAGTTACAGAGATCCTGAGCTGACGCTGAATGGTGTTCAACTGGCATACAATGAAACGGCAAAATCTTGCTTGATTTTTGATAAGCATTTAACATGGAAACAGCATATAGAATATACCTTGCGTAGATGCAAAAAAGCTCTGAATGTAATAAATGCATTTCCATATAAATTGGGAGCAGATAGAGACATCTTACTGCGCCTGTACAAATCCATGGTGATGTCCAAATAGATTATGGATGTGCAGTGTACTCTCAGCCAGAAAATCAAGTTTAAGGAAACTAGACCCGTTCACAATGCAGGTCTCCGATATGCATCTGGCGCGTTCCACACTAGTCCTTCCTCAAGCCTCTACTGTGAAACCACCACCATGTCGCTACATCACCGACGACAAACAATGCTACTGAATTGTAGATCAAAATTGCTGTCTCTACCGAAACATTTAAATCACTCATTGATGACTCGCATCTAAGCTAGTAAATATTTACGATCAAAGACTTCAGCAACTCGTCCAGCCCACATCCGCGCAATCCAGATAGCCAAGTGCTACAACATCGTCCTACCACAGTTTTGAAACACGAACCTTATGAAATTCCAGTTTGGATGTTGAAAATGCCAGAAGTAAGACTCGATACTACCAGTATAAAGAAAACAGAATCCTCCCCATAGATTTAAAGTCAGATTTCAATCAGTTCTCGAAGAATACATGACAAATCACATCATAATCTACACAGATGGTTAAAAAACAAAACATCAGGTCGAAGCGCATTTGTAACTGAGAATTGTCGAGGCTTGGCACTTCCACCTGAAGCAAGTGTGTACACTGCCGAATTACATGCAGTATTGCAGTCTTTGCGACACTGTGAAACTCTCGATTCAGGACGGTTCGTCACTGCACAGACTCTCTAAGTCTTCTCACTGCCAATAGACAGGCGCCAAACTGTAGATCCACTGCTACAAATGATTCTCATAGCATGCCATAAATTAGAGCAGCAGAGGCATCAGTTACGTTCATCTGGTGCCCTGGACACGTTGGTATCCTAGGCAATGAAGAAACCGATTCTGCAGCACGAAATGCCGGGAACATCCAATCAGAAATGGATATTGAAATACGACCTCAGGATGCAAGAAATGCTGTCTCGAAGTGCATCCTCACAGAATGGCAGACCTCGAGGAACAGTCTTCACACGAAACTACTACCCCATTAAACAAAATATCAGTAAATGGTCACAAATGTCAGCTACCCTCGACGAGAACAAGTGTGTTTAACCCGACTAAGAATAGGCCATGCAAGAATGACTTCTTCATACATGTTAAGAAATGAAGAACAATCATCTGCAGCTGCGGAAGACTTCTGACAGTGAAACATATTCTGACAGACTGCGTAATCTTCTCAAGACTTAAAACAGATGCGGCATGAGAGGGCAACATGAAAGATAGATCTCGGCACGACAAGACAGCAACTGACAAAACAATACATGTTCTTGAAGAAGCCAAACTTTTCTTCAAAATTTAGATTAAATATATGATATATCATAACATCGATCAGTAAAAGGCTAAAGGCTTAGATGCTAAGCCTTCAAACTAACCAAAAAAAAAAAAAAAAAAAAAAAAAAAAAAAAAAAAAAAAAAAAAAAAAAAAAAAAATAAATAATAATAATAATAATAATAATAATAATAATAATAATAATAATAATAATAAAAAAAAAACATGGCCGCTCTTAAGCGCGCCTTGAGAGCGGGTCGTTGCACTGGTGCGTTGCCTGGCTTCCAATCATGGAGGAAATGCTTGCAACGAGATGATACCACATACAGTGATCGACGGGTATTCTTCCATTTCAAAATGATTTCATTCATCGATATTACTGCAATATCTCGATTACTGAATGTCATTAAATCGAAAAGATATATTTATAACATTGAAGAGTATTATACGATTATATGCAACCGTGAACCTAAGCAGGAGCCGCTACTATTCAAATGGATTTATTTGTACTACTGCAATTGTTTGAAATGCTTTAAAGTTACAATACAAGTCGGAATTGATCTGAATGTTAAATATACAACTTCGCCGATTACAACATTTAATTAATTCATCCTCATTAACAAAAAGTAAACTTAACGTTTGTAAATCATCCCATAAAACGAATTCAAATTTTTTAAATATAGTTTACGACTTGTCCTGTGACATAGTTACCTAAGAAAAATTGTTGAAGTCATTTTATTAGTTGTATCATATAAAAGATTTTTTGTTATAAATTTGTCTATTAATATTTGTATTAAAAATTAAATTTTGCTCAATATGTTTGAGATGGTTAAAACATTACACAAAAGTGCTTTGCATTATATATTTGAAGGATAATTTCTGAACAAATTATTTTAAATGTTACAATGTATTGACAATAGGTCATTTGGTGGGAAAATAATTTGTTTTTTGCCAATGTTTCTGTGTTTATTTTACCTTCTCTCAGATATATTACATAATAATATATTATATTAATGCAAAACAAAACCAACCACAAATAAATATATCATAAAAAACACAAATATCTTTTTGTACAATTAACATATGGTAAGTTACTTGTATAAACAATGTCAATTCTTAAGAAATTCTATTTTCATGTCATCCCTTCAATTGTCTCATTTGGGATGGCCCAGTCTGACTAACTATACAAAGTGCTGAATATAAAATATTTGATGAACAAGAAGATAAAAATAATGATGCTTTTACAATGCATTCCTAAAACAATAGTTTTATTATAGAAATCATCTTTTTGTCATAAGCATGCTTATAGGAATTAAACTGTAAGTTACTATTTTCTACTAAACAAGTGATGAACATTTCTACAATTGTATAAAAATGGTATATTTCACACATTACTAGACACATATGAAGTTCATAACTTTTTAATACCTATCCAAGATATTGGTTGACAAGACAACTATCTCACTATTGTGGGGGGAAAACAAACAAACAAACAACAACAACAACAAATACTTCATGCATGACTAGAATTTTTTTTCACTATTGGAATGATGCTACTGACCAAGAAAACATACAAAAAATAATTGTTAAAATCATTATATAATTTTATAATAAAAAATATAAATAATTATAATAAAAATAAACATACAAAAACAACTATTTAAATCAAATTATCCACCCAGAAGACATTTTCATTTACAATTAACTACTATTTTAATAAAAGTTAATGATTCTATATTATAATTAGTGAAGTCAGTAGCAATGTAACTTAAGGTAAAGATCTTGAACAAGATTCTGAATCTTGACTCTCACATTTCATTTGCATATACACTTGTGAAATATAAATTACATATTTTGCAATTCAACTAACAGTGGAGTATCACATTTATATTTGTTGGATGTAATAAATAAAATGTAAAAGGTTCCAAACATCCACTTCTCAAGGAAACATTACCAAAATAAACAGACCATTACAAATTCTGTTACAAATCCCAAATCAGAGCCCTGCGCAATACACTTCTATTCCCCAAAATATCCAATGCTTTACTTGAAGGTAAAATTACAATTTTTTTCCTAATAATTTTATTTATTTCATTTCATTATATTTTCTAATATTTCTGTGTGCTTCTAGAAAAATTGTTCACATTTTGAGGGTGAAGTGGCTGTTTTTTCATAGGTTTGATTTTTTGCCTCAACCTACAGTTTCATCAACAATGTGTCTAATTTTTATTATGAAGAAAAAACAAACCACTTTGCACTCTTAACATGAAATAAACTATTCCTCATTGTTGTATTTTCAGAGACCATGATGTTTACTAATTTGAGGAAACACCCTAATGAATGCCTGTAAAACCATTAAAGCGTTACCAGCACCAAATTATTGAGGAAGTGGGGGACAATTCAATAGATAAGGTGCAGAAGTTCCTTCCAATAAACTTAAAAAAACAACAACAAACACCTCCACCACCATCATACATTAGGTGTGTAGGAGGCGAGGGATACATCCCCCTCCTCCCCAGTGGTGAAGCCCATGTATAAAACAAAATAGAACAATGTATCAGGAACACCACATGTAATATGTAAACATTCAGTAGATTGGTAATTGTAATTGTAATTTATGTATCTACCTGTAATTAGAAAACTGCAAAGGAATTAAGGATCACTTGATCGTGGGATGAATTCTAGAATTCTCAAAGATCTTAATGGGGTTTTCATTATTTCTAGATTATAGATTTATGTGCTGTCTTATTGTAAATTGTATTGTAACATACATTAAATTGTTATCTACAATTTTAAGCCTGGTGTATTTGTCAAAAGCAAACAAACCAACAATAAACAATACAATTTCACATGGAAATGCTCTGAAAAAATAGTTTTAAAGAAGCAAGTTAAATTTTAGCTGATATTAGACTTGGACAGTAGAGTAAAACATGGGGCTCGGAGTACAGAACGAAGGGGAATAAGAATGTAGTGAAATTGTGGTAAAATGTTGATTAATACAAAACCACTTTGTGTGTCATCATTTCTTAAACCAAAATTAAACTGCTATATAAGAGCAAAAACATTGGATTATCATAAAATTATCAGGGGAAAAATGAAGAAATTGTTAAAAATTCAAATGATATTATTGTATATGTTCTTGAAATTTGCAGGGTTATATTGGGAATTATGAAACTAATTACAGGGTCTAAGTAATGGTCATTGTTTTTGCAATGTGTAATAGCAATTTGAGGTGATTTCAAGATTTCCTTGAAATTTACTCATGAAATATAAAACTAAATACCAACACTACAAATATTTATTTTATTTTGTACAAGCTTTAAAACCTGGTGGTGAAATTTCCTCCATTTTCCTGTGATGTTCTTCTGCATAAATACTTTCATCAACATTGGCCTCCTCTTCCTCAGGTTTGTCATCAGGAAACCCGTAATCTTCCGGTGGATCAAGAGGAGGACACAGAAAATGCCTTATGTTCCGAGGCATTACCATGTCCTCTTGGCGATCAGACCAATATTTCATGTAATCTTCAACGGCTTGTATTTGTTCTTCGGAAATAACTGGACCAATTCCCTTGACTTCCACTCTGTAAGGAGGAACAAGTTTTCCTACCCAACTTGGGACTGCCTCTGCTTCTCTGTGTATGTACTTGAGAGGTTCCTCAGACTCATGTTCAGACATATCTCCTGACGGAATTCTCTCCAAAACAGCATTCCATAACTCATTCTTCATTGTTTCTTTTTGGGTGTCTGTAATCAGTTCTGATAATGTCTCCCAAACAGTCCCCTTCATTGAGGGAGGAGGCTTCTTTTCTGTTATAGCATCCCATATCGCTTTTTTAAGAATCTCTGATGTTGTTTTATCAGCTGTTGGTTTCTCCATCTTACCCCTTAAATCTGGTATGTCTTGAATTACAGAGTGTAAAAAGTCACGTGCATCAGCTGCAACATTTGAGTATTGGTCAACATTTCTCTTTACTGATGACCATAGATCATCTTTAATTGCTTCATAATCATCATCATCATGTGCTTTATCTTCATCCGGCAATTTTGACAAGAGTGCATCCCAAAGTGCATTCTTTATAGTTGCTTCCATGTCTTCAACAGTTCTTTCGACAGAAATGCACTTGGTTAAGTGTGGTTCTGAATCAGTTATTTTTAATACTTGTTCTGGGCCTTCTTTGTCCTCTTCTTCTTCCTCTTCCATATCCTTTTGTTGTTCTTCTACGGTACTCTCCTCTACTACAATATCTGCCCAGCCTTCAGGTGGTGTGGCATTTTCACCTTCCAAAACAGGACCACAATTCATTCGAGCCAAATATGTATACAAACTTATAAATGTGTCACAAGGGATCATTGCTGATCCACCTTCTGGTTCTTCTGTTAATAATTCACAAAGAAGTATCATTGTTCGTGACAATTTCTGGAAAGGAGAAAAGAAAGAGAAAAAATATATTTATTTCATCATTGGATGTTTATTTAAGTAATTTTCAGGGATCAAATAAAGAATCTTACTTCACAAAGGTATGCAGCACAAATGGCAATAAATTTCAGGGTGTCTATTTCAGTTTCAAATCTCCCCAACATGAAGATTTCTTGAAGTGTGTTTTCATCTAAAGAAACACCCCTCCATTTCCTTAATATTTCATGGGCTCCTACAAACTGTTTACCTGCAAACTGTATATATTTGGTAAAAGACATAAATAATTCTTGTATGTATACCAGTAACCATTGGCCACCATTGGTTACCATTGATAAATTGGTGAAAACATAGTTTCATCAACAGTTTACAATTACCTGTTTTAAGAGGACTCTGAGATAACCTGGTGACAGGCCAGAAGGAAATTCTGTTTGCGGGTATTCTAGTCTTGGTTTTACAGGTGGAGGCTCTCCATTTGCCATACATCGAAAATAAGCAGCTGACCATCGAAGAAGATCATAAGGCTGAGTTCTAATTGCAGCTTTACAATATTGTTTGAGAATGAAGGGAAATGTTGGAGGAATGTGGATCTGCTGAGAGCAGTACATTTGTTCCACTAAATCAGGCATGTTGAATACTTGATTGCAACTGAAAAAAATAAAAAAATAAATAAAAAAAAATCTTCCAAAAATTGAAAACACATGAATTTATTTAGATTTATCCTTTTTATCATCACAGAAAAATTACTGGAAGAAAATGCAACTAATCAAATCCATAAATAATGTCATCAATAGGAAGAGAACTTGTATGATTTTGCAGGTTATTTTTTATTGCTTTAGGTCATTGTTAAATATTCTTTTATTCTTTGTTAACAATTGGGCAGTTTTTGAACTATGTTAACAGGGCACATTTGCTTCTATCCAGTCATTTTCTTATATAAGATTAAATAAATTATGCTTTTTGGTGCTTAACTGCATTTGTCATGTTTCTGTTATAAATACTACTAAAATATTATGTTTTCAGAGATGATTGTGGTGGATTTTAATCTCTCAGCATCTGGAAATTGCTCTACCAACTTTTTCAATTAGTCTGAGCAGAGTCAGTCATTGTATTTTATTCCATTAAACATTCTAATCCAATTTTGATTGACTCTCCAGAAATGTAATGAAATGAGTGTGGGCCTGCCCAAAAACTTTTATCTGGGCTCCCGTAAACAAAAAAGTATAGCAAATACAAGTAATTAGTACCTTAAATAATAAAAATATCCTTTAACAAATTTGAATTTATCAGTCTATGGTTAATAACCAAATGTAGAAAATCTGCCTTCATTATTTTATTTTACAAAATTAAGACAGTTATAATGAATTGATTATCTTGATAGATTTAAAAACTTGGTTACACAAGCTACCGAAGTGGAAAAAATTGTTCTTCTGGGATTAGTTCTGGAAGAACTGTTTTTAATCTTTTATTGCATCAACTATTGCAAAGTATCAGGGAAAGTATAAAGTAATTAATATTTTTTACAATCGCAAAACCTTCCACATAAAAATAGGACCTCTTTTACCTGGGCCCACCTGTAATGCAGGCCTTGCGGGGTTTGGGATCGAGCGTTATGTCACTGACACTCTTATCATAGGGAACTTGCAACACACCCTTAATTAGAAGTAAATCTTTCTGTATTAAGACTTCAAAACATTCTGAAGCTATTCTCTTGGCTCTCTAGTTTTCAACAATGTACCAAGGTAAACTAACCTTTCTAATTTTGGTTCACATTAAAATAAAAAAAATGAAAGACTATTTTTTGTGGATGAAAAACTACAGATTCAATTTTTTTGTTGTTACTTCCCATATGTAACCATAGTACAAAAATATACATGGCCACATTTTCTGCTAAATAACAAAAATATTTTAATTATTGACACAATATTTTTAGTGAATCAAATTTCAATAGAAGGTTTAAGAAACCCAATATTGGATGTGTTCATATTTTTCTTTTAAAATTATTTTGCAGCACATACATGTACACCGCTGTGCTGTGGTTCAACCTTTGAGAATCACTATATTGACCCATAAAAATACTGAAAGAGCTGTCAAAAAGTTTACTCTCTGTTCACTTTTTCAACTAGAGCAAAGTCTAAAACATTAACCATCTGATTCATCAAGATTCAATTTTATCACAATCACAGCAGCCATATAGTGACCCATTGGCTCTGTCATCTTGTTTTTGAAAACCTATATTTTAACCCGACTACTCTGCTTTGATTTTATAAATGATATTGTTAGGAGACCTTGAAATAATTGTTCCTCACATTGGATTCATCAAGAACTGAATTTTCAGTAGAATATTTGTCCAATTTTTTAAGAACGATATTATTTAATTCTTGTACAGGAATGAACACAAAAATATTTGTCACAAAATTTTTTGGGTCATACATATATATATCTTTATTTTTTATAGCATAAAAATCCAGTTCCATTGTCAAAATGTGTCATACCACTAGGTCTAAATGAGATACACTTCGTTGCAGCATTATTGTAAATTTGAATGGACGTTTAATAATGAAAAGAAAACATTCAAATTCATCAAAAAATAATTTTTGAAATTTGTAGCAATCTTACAAGTGTAGTTATTCAATTAATTTGGGCAATTTTTAAATAACATGAAACTGCATAAACGTTTATTGTGTTTATATTGTTTGTGTGTCCTTTTTAGTGCGTATACAATGAGATACACACAAATGCATATACATGCTCTCTAATATTTTATACTGGAGTACAATAAGGTGTCAAGTAAAATAGAATTGTCAAAAAGTTTTGAAATAAAATATGTTGAATGTGTGTAGAATAAACACACAGCAATAAGATTCTTATGAAATTAATGACAAACCTGAAGGGAAACAAAAATCACAGCATTTCGCCCATCGCGTATTCTAAGTACCTGCCCACGTCATGTACTTTGTTTACGGTCTCAACTTTCGTTGCTAGGGCAACTGAGCGATCCTTACTAAGAAATCGATGTAGGGTTATTGTATGAACTTTTGAATGATAATACATCTTGGGCAAAATAACAATGACTTCATAGTATATAAGTTCTCACAAACAGAGGAATTTTAATTCGATGAGGTCTTGGCATGATGAGGAAAATACGTTCGCTGATGCTACTTTCTTCAGTTTAGTTTATTGGTTGCGGATTTGTCTTCCAGATATCGCTGCGACCTGTGTGGCGCGACCTCGAAGTTACGATTTGAACTGTCACACGATTGCCATACTGCCATCTTTACGTGGGATGATGAACTAGTGGTATTAAATGTTCATCACGTGACACTGAAGAGTTTGGAGGAAAGTTCATTGCTGTAACGGGAACGTTATATTGTGATTCTCAAGAAAATGGGGGAAACAATCATCACAAGATGAATTTCGACGGACAAAATGACTTAAATATGTGAACAGGCGTGGACATGGATGTTATCGGGGAAGATCAAGCTCTGCAGGCCGTCCTAGGTGAGTTTTCACTTGACTTCATTTCTCGGTAGGCGGTGCTTCGAAGAATAGCAGGTTGCCGAGCGTAACATAATCGAAAGTGATGTATCTGTTTATGTTTATTGCCGTGAATATGGTTGATGACATTCTAGATCACGCCCATGAAATGACGCAAGTTTTTTTTCTATTTCATTGCATAATAGAATGAGTATGGGGAATTGTAAATTTGATGCAGGAAACTCCTGGAGCAATCTGCTCACCGCGACCTTGACAACCAGCGTGATACAACGCAGGGTACGATTATTATGTTTGTTTGTATGGACAGTGATGAAGCTCTTACAAAGTGTAGTATTTCTCTATGATTTATCTTGTTTTTCATCATGTTATTACGGAGATAACTCTGAAAAAAAATTTTTTTTGATCATTCATTTCTGAAATTCAATTTGAAATCGACACTATTTCGAGTGACAGTAAATATCACTTGTTATTATGTCAAGGTATTCGCAGACCGATTACGGTCGTTTTGTCATTGAGGCATCTCCGTCGGAATGCACGAAAAAGACACGTTTTCGGATTGATAATTTTTACTTTTAGGTGCTTGATATTTTAGTATTGTTAAGACGGCAAGGGCAAACTGAACTTGTTTGCGGACCTAACTAGACAAACTAACGTCCCACTCTCTGCTTGAATCTCATGCTAATTACATATTAACATATTCTACACAAATGTGCACTAAGTGAAATTTAAGTTATTTAGTTCATTTAAGTGAAATTTGAACACTGGAAACATTTGTATCTTTCAAGTGTTTATTACAAAAGTAAATTTTTGACATACTATGTTCCTGGAAGTACCATTATAAATTAAATGACATAATTTACCAGAAATTTACGAACGTTTTCTTCCTTCTTTCTGCCGCGCTCACTTGGCAATCAGATTATCATAATATAATTTAAATATACAATCGAGTGTATAATAGTACATGAACCAAGTTTTCCCCTTGCCTGACCGCAAATATTTTAAAATAATTTTCGAAAAAAATGATCGCTGTGCACTAGTTTGAAATGGATATCCACAGGCGTAGATATTTTGTACATGCACGTACACTTAATGCAGAGACATAGAAGACGAGGTTTATTTAATCGTTATAATAATAATAATAATAATAATAATAATAATAATAAAGCTACTGAAATTCAGATATGTAGTTACTATATTTTCGACATTTCCATTTTATTTAATTTGAGAAAATTCCAAGAAACGTAAACAATACCTTTTTGTACTCCCGAGACAGCTCTCTACATGTAAAACATCTCCTAAAAGGAGGTATTCATAAATATTCCTTCTCTTAAAATATAAATGTAGGCATAATAATAATAATAATAATAATAATAATAATAATAATAATAATAATAAAATGAATATAAACTAGTGGGAATAGAGAACATACTTTCTCGTACTAGTTACTTTCCTATTCTCTTGAGTTGGGACTTCCTTTTCTGTTTCGGCCCACCCTCGCGCTAACTGCAACCGAACGCACTGGCAAAATGAGTGCATGGACGTACCTTGCAGTTATATTGCCATCAGTTACCGAACAGTATCTGCCAAAGCGGTCCCTTCTTATAGTAATCTCTCGCGGCGCCTAAATGACCTTCCAGGGCTAGGTCGCTCCTCTGGGAACATTCCCAGCGAAGAACACGTTCGCACTGCCCGACCATTGCAACGACCTATCTCGGTCCTGCACCTTCACTCATTTGTTCGCGGTAGTCCTTCGCGTGTCTCGGTGTTTGCACCATTATTCTGTAGGGATTCTGACCCTCAATTACACACATGTCTCACGCACAGTCGCTAGTCAGGCCAAGGTATTATGGAAGAATGGTGGTAAAGATATAATATAGCAGAGACTCGGAAGTCTTCCGTGTCAAGAACCCTACATAAAACGTTCATGTTTTACGCGGGTCTCGAACCGACAGCCTTGGTCGCCACTTACTTGGGTTTACTCCAAGCTCCTTTTCACTTGATCGTACTATTTATAAACGTGTCTCGGTTATATACCATGATTATTTGTTTCAACGAATAATGTAAATGAATCTGGCATTTTATGCATACGCGATATTAAATGCACTTTGTAATATTGAATATAGTAAGTATTTGAATAACTATGACACCATTGTTTCCAAAACAAAAAGGCAGACAATGTTATTTTCTTCGTTATACGAGATCTTTCAATTCCGCACTTTCTAATTAACAATGTTTTCAAACTTACTCTACACAGTTCATTTTCACAGAACTTTTAAAAATTTTCTAGAAACTTCATTAGAAATCATTTGAAACACTTGTATTCACAAATGTATTAATGTATAAGAAATGTCCATAATGAATACATTAACTATGTGAGAGATGTTTGTGATTATTGAAAAATCAAAATAAATACATCAAACTGCCGTGTCTCATGTAATTAATTCAGTGCGTAACACTTACATATTAAAATACATAGCGCTGTGAATACCAAACATTTCATGAAAAAATTTGGTATCGTTTTCGAAAAAATGTAATTTGAATGTTTCTGGAAAAGTGCAATTTTGAGTTTTTGAGAAACTTAATAAGAAATAATTTGCAGTACTTTCACTCACAAATGCAATAAGTTATGAAAGCGCTCGTAATCGAAATATTAACAAAGAGACATAAAAAATCTGAAATGTTTGTAAGTTTTGAGAAATCAGAAAAAATAAAACATCAAAATGGCATTTATATCATGTTATTAAGAGCATTCA